AAGACTGAGCTGGGGGGTTAATTATTAAATAATAACATAGGCACCAACTTTGCTTACTAATACTTTCTAATCATTTGTAAAGTAACAATACGTTGCATAGGGGAAGATCTTTAATGTGCTTAGCTGCACGATCAATTAGGCTCCTTCCGGCACCACGACATGCGGGAGGCCTAGCTGGTGGCTAGGAGCGTTCTTCTCTGGCTGACGTTCGTGGGGACGAGACCTACTCTGTGGCTGCACCCCTACTCTCCTCCCTTCTCCTCTTACTTATTTCCCTTACCTTAAGTTCCTGTACCATTAAGTTCAGTACTGTATGGTGTTTTAAGTGTGCCTACTCTGGTAGTAACGATTGGTGAGACCTGGGGGTAGTATTTGCCAGTGTTTTGGGTACCCCTAAGTGTTGTGTTTTGTATTAGGGTACCACGTGGTGTCTCTACCCTAAGCTGCATCCAGCTTCAGTGCTTATCCAGTAGTACTTTACCCTAGCTTGTTCTTAGTATAAACCTTGTATCCTGCCTAAGTGGACCAAGGCTTTTTAATGTAAGGTAGTGTGGTAAAGTTATTATTGTTATTGTTATTGGTGTGAGTGTATATGGGGGGTTGTTAAGGGGTTAATAAATAAGTACATGAATTATAGGAGTATCCCTTCTTCCTGTGTGGGAGTGCATTGATCAACCCTTAGATTAACATATATGGTCTAGTAGCAAGTTATTATTACTGTGGATAGTTTATTTTGGGGGCCGGGCCTTTTAGCTCTCCCATATTTGATACTCTGTCTTCTAACTACCCTTACCCCTTAATAGTACCAGTTCCCCATAGCAAAGACCACCACACAATTATTTATAACAACCATAATTAAGATAGGGATAGATTAGTGCATAATATAGTGAGAGGAGAGCAGAGTTAGGAACATAATATCTGATTTTGGAGAGTATACCAACTGTTTTAGAGACTTTCTTAGTTATGTGTTGTATGTGGGTGCTGAAGTTGAGTCTCTTGTCTAGGAATAGGCCTAGAAACTTTCCATAATTTTTATTACTGATATTAATATTGTCTATCTGTAGCTGAATTGTATTTGTTGATTTGCTTCCAAATAAAATATATGTAGTAAAATGTCATGGGTTCGTATCCTGGCCGGAGAGGATTTACAATTCCTTAACTGTAGCCTCTGTTTAACACAACAGTAAAATGTGTACTTGGATGAAAAAACGATTCTTCGCGGCAGGGGATCGTATTCCAGGGACCTGCCCGAAATGCTACGCGTACTAGTGGCTGTACAAGAATGTAACAACTCTTGTATAGATCTCAAAAAAAAAAAAGTAGGTATTTTCTGTTTAGTGTGAGTTTGTTAGTTGACATCCATAAGTGGACTTTTTTTAATTCATTATTCACAACATTATTTAGTGTATGTGGGTTGGGATCTGAATAGATGAGGGTGGTTTCATCAGCAAACAATAAAAGTTTAAGAATGTTAGAGACATTAGGCAGATCATTAAAATATATAAAAAATAGGAGAGGTCCCAAGATGCTGCCCTGTGGCATTCCAATGATTATTGGCGGGGTAGGAGAGGTTATATCATTGATGGCTACATATTGGTGCCTGTCACTAAGATAGGATCGGATATACTCCAGGACAAGGCCTCGGATTCCATAATGCTGCAGTTTAAGTAAGAGGTAGTTGTGATTAACAGTATCAAAGGCCTTTCTCAGGTCAATGAAGAGTCCAATCGGAAACTCATTTTTGTCGAGGGCTGATTAGATTATATGAAGGAGACTAATAATTGCATCATTGGTACTCTTTTGGGGCCAGAAGCCAAACTGACAGGGGCTGAGTATGTCGAATTTTACGAGATAGAAGTAGAGCTGTTTGAAGATAATTTTTTCAAATATTTTTGATAGTATGGGTAAGTTTGATATTGGTCTATAATTGTTTCTGTCTGTCGGATTGCCTCCTTTCTGAACTGGCGTTTTCTTGCTTTTTTTTTAAGGATATCAGGGAAGGTATGACACTAAGGATTTGTTGAGCAGTAGAGCTATGGATGGTGCAAGGGCATGGGAGGCACTCATGTGTTAGTGTACATTTAGTAATACAGTATGTTTTACCCAGTTACTTCTTAAAATGTGTTTTAAACAAATTGGTCTTATATGCATATTTTATGAATATAATATTATTATTTATTATTATATATTGTACTATATACTGATACCCAATGAATTTTTAGTGAACACTGAGTACTCATTAACTGGTAATTTTGTAATAAATTGATTTATAAACATTATAATACTGTATTTTTCTCATCTATATTTTAATTAACACTGTTTGTTATTCAGTTTCCCTAACAACTAGAAATTATGGCTTAAAAACATTCTGGGTGTCTCGGTGAAGACTTATGAAATGATAAATAAACAATGTTACATGAAGCTTATTTATGTACTAATAAAAAAAACACTCTGAATTACAGTGAGTCGACAGTGACCCTGTATGTCAAGACAGTTATCAAATAAGTTTAATGTAATAGTTATCAGGTCATAAGTAAGAGTCATGTGTTACATTATTAACATAAATAACATACAATAACATATATAACATACAATACTATTTACTATAAATAACATAAATTAAACAAGTAATAACAAATAGATAATAAATATACACTATTCATATCAAAACAATACATAGATGCTGCTCCTAACCTGGTAACACAGGCCTATACTGATCATACATAACAATTAAGCAATGCTTCAATTTTGACTTGTACATATAAATAATAAATTACTCTGATTTAAATGTAGAAAATTAATTTAATTAAAAAAAATATCAGATTGAAACACCAGTAAACAGATTACATAAATACAGCAGTAGCAATAGTTAAGCCTAGATTATCTTCCCTGAATGTTGTACTCAACAGAAAATTATACATTCTGAGGGTCAGACTTATATAAATGGAAAATTCTGGTTTAAAATATAAAAGGTTCAGGCAAATGCAACTGCCATTCAGGATAATATAATTTACAGATTCAGGATTATATAAATAATAACAATAATTGTTTGTCTGGCTAATATAATTACCAGAATCAGGGTAATATGTAAAAATTCTGGTGAATACATATGCTCGATTCAGGCAAATACAATTGTCAGTCATACTAATATAATTGCCAGCCTCGCTAATATAATTATCAAGAGTCAGGCTAATATAATTGACAGTCATGTAATATAATTGAAAGAGAAACTAATATAATTACCAGATTCAAGGTAATATAATTTTCAGACTCAATTAATATAATTGCCAATCAAGCTAAAATAACTGTCTGATTCAAGGCAAAATAATTGCGAGATATAGGTTAAAATAATAACCATTCAAGCTAACATGAATGCTAGTCAGGCTAATATGATTCCTTGTCAGGCTAATATTATTGCCAGATTCATTGTATTATAAATGCCAGATTCACTGTAATATAATTGCCAGATTCACTGTAATATAAATGCCAGGTTTAGGGTAAAATAATTGTCACTTAGGGTAATATAATTGCCAGTCAGACTAATATAATTAGCAGTCAGGATAATGTAAATGCCAGTCAGGCTAATATAATTAGCAGTCAGGATAATGTAAATGCCAGTCAGGCTAATATAATTAGCATTCTGGATAATGTAAATGCCAGTCAGGCTAATATAATTAGCAGTCAGGATAATGTATATGCCAGTCAGGCTAATATAATTAGCAGTCAGGATAATGTATATGCCAGTCAGGCTAATATAATTAGCAGTCAGGATAATGAATATGCCAGTCAGGCTAATATAACCAAACTTCTGAAGCTAGGCAAGAGTAATAAAGTATATAATCTGAATATTACAATTTCAAATATAGGAGGCTAATATAACTACTGACCTTAGGAAACACTAATATAAGTGATTGATTTCAGCAAATATAAATACCATAGTTTTCTCAAAATAAGCAATGTAGTTAGGCCAGACAGATAAAACTTTTGACTTAAACAAATATAAATTACAGAGTTTAGCTAAAATAAATTCCTATCAGGCTAATATATATTGTGAAGTGATTTATATTTCTGTAATCAGTCATAAAACAAGATAACAAAAAAATCACTGTTATATTTCCAATTAAGAGTTGTAAAATCTAAAGTAATATGCCTAAGAAAAATATATAAAAAATGGGCATCAGTTAGAGTAAGCACACTGCTAAACTTTTAATTCTTAAATTAAATTTTGTTTATTATTCTTGTCAATAAAATGGTCTCATCTTAAATATACCTCAGAGTGAATATAACTCTTTTTCCCAAGTGTTAACGATAACAATTAATACAAATAAAAATGTCATACTATATTGTATATTAAATATATTTCTTAAGAAAACCAACCTGGAAAGCACATTATAATTAAAACACATTTCATACCTTTGCTTTTTTGGTTAAAATACAAAAATATTTATAACTTATGAATGATTTAAAGTTTTCCACACCAGCAGCTTTTCTGGTGCTTGCTTCATCCTCCACTCATTCCCCTTTTCCCTTATTTCCTCCTCTCTCCCCCTTTTTCTCTCATCATCCCCTCTACATCTTTCCTTCTGCCTTTTCCAATCTCCATTCCCCCTCTGCCTCTCACCTTTCCACCTTTCTTCCTGCTCTCCCCAAACATCTTCCTCTCCACCCTTTCTATGAGGTGTATCTAAATTCTACACTAACAGTTTCACTGGCATATGTCATTCGCTTGGCATGTGACATGAATTAAATTTCTACAGTGGCATCTTCCATGGTGCTTGCTTGGTCTATGATGAGCATCTAACTTCAATACAAAAATCACAATACCTTGAGCTGCTGAACTTTACCGTCCGCAGCACACTACTTCTCGCATAAAATATAACAAAAATATCTTATTAGGGAAATCAACTGACAAGGAGATAGGAGCTTCATCTTGAAAATATGAAGCTAAGTGTCAAATTGTATATTGGATTAATGCCAACTTAATGTATTAGTATGTCTAATTATACTTCAACATTCTCAAAATCTTCTCCCACATGCAAAATATTTAACCTTTCATTGGAATGTATCTTCATGTGCCTCTTCATATTTCCAAAATATCTAAATCTCTTGCCACATTCTGGACACTCATGAGGTTGGTCATCTGTATGCAGCATCCAATGAAACTTCATAGTTCTAAGCTGAATGAATCTTTTGCCACACTCTGGACATTCATGAGGTTTATCACCAGAATGCAATACCATGTGCCTTATTATAGCTCGTCGCTCTCTGAACTTTCTCCCACACTCAGTGCACTCGAAAGGTGTTTTATCCGAATGCACAATTCTGTGCTGCTTCATATTTCCATAAATACTGAATCTCTTCCCACATTCTGGACACTCGTAAGGTTGTTCACCAGAATGCACTAACATGTGAATCTTCATATATCGAAGAAGACTAAATCTCTTCCCACACTCTGGACATTCGTGAGGTTTATCACCCAAATGTACCATCCTATGAGTCTTCATACTTCCAAGTTGACTGAATTTCTTCCCACACTCTGGACACTCATGAGGTTTATTACCAGAATGCACTAACATATGTTCTATTATATTACTGCGTTGTTTAAAGCTTTTCCCACACTCTGCACATTTAAAAGGTCTTTTACTCAAATGTACCCCCCTGTGCCTCTTCATATTTCCAAGATGACTGAATCTCTTTCCACACTCTGGACACTCGTGAGGTTTATCACCTGAATGGACCATCCTGTGCCTCCTCATACTTCCTAGCTGAATGAATCTCTTACCACATTCTGGACACTCGTGAGGTTGATCACCTGAATGCACCATCCTGTGTGTTTTCATACTTCCCAGCTGACTGAATCTTTTCCCACACTCTGGACACTCATGAGGTTTATCACCTGTATGCACTAACGTGTGGATCTTCATATTTGCAAGACGACTGAATCCCTTCCCACACTCTGGACACTGGTGAGTTTTCATCTTCTTTATAATAGGTGCAGTTTGAGTGAAGGGGAGACTCATGAAATGGGTTGAAGACTACCTCACCAGTGGTGATGTTGGGAGCGTCAAGGTAGAGCTTCAATGTTGACGGTTAGGCAAGAGGGTTGTTTCTTACAGTTAGGCTTGATGTGAGCACTTGGTAGTCACTGCTGCAGCTTCTTCTTCTTCGTTATGATAAGTGAAGTTTATGTGAAGGTTTTCACTTAAATCTGATGCTCAAGAACTGCGTTTGTTTATCAATATAATGCCGGCGGACGCTTATATTCCAGTGTCAAATTCGGCATTTTCTTCGGACAATCATTTTTGGATATACTATAGTATATTTATAATAATTTTATTTACTAATTCGTATATAATAAATAATAATAAATGTTTATTTAGGTAAGGTACATACATACAAGAGATTTTACAAAGTTTGTTGGATTAATAGATAGAGCTAGTACATACAATGCCTAAAGCCACTATTACGCAAAGCGTTTCGGGCAGTGATATAATAATATATAATATTAATAATAACATATAATAATAATAATAATAATAATAATAATAATAATAATAATAATAATTTTAATAATAATAATAATAATAATAATTCATTGTGTCGGAGGACAGGTGGCCAGTTTATCCATACTGTACATGTTAGGCTTATATCGAAGTTCCCCTCCCCATGGTCATATTAAAAATAATAATAATAATAATAATAATAATAATAATAATAATAATTTATTTGCAAGAAGGTACAATGGGTTGAGATTACATAAGATTGATATTTTTACATACATGCAAAGCCCCTAACACGTGTAACGTACGTTTATGTTACGTTGTTGGGTTGATTAGATACACAGTGTTTAGTGAGTTTCATATTTATTTAGTAGTCCTGGATACAGCAGTGTCGTAGACGTTGAGACGAAGCCTGGAGCAGAGCAGAGAGCTGAGTGAGGCCGGAGTCGTGGAGCTCTATGTGGGAGAGCGTGGCGGCTCGATTGAGAGTTGTGAGTGTCTGAACTCGGGGAGCGAGAGCGTGGCGGCTCGATGCGGTCGTAGTCTGCTGTCTGTTCTGTGTCGAAGCTGTAGCATCTTGGGTTGATTAGGACTGTACATGCCGAGTGCTACATTGTTGACTGTGGAAATTGGACAGTCTTCTATTCATCAAATCGTTGCTTATATGGTGATTACACCTCAGCTTCCTCCCACAAGGTGAGAAGATTATTACCTGTAATTGGGGAAAGGATTGTAGCTTCTGTAATTAGTTATGCTATTAAGATAGTGAGATAATGGAGCGAGTATAAGATTAACTCGGTACACACGCATAGCGTTTCCAGCAGAACCCCTTTTCATGAAGCAACCACACAACATGCTGACTAGCTCCTGGGTGCCTATTAACTGCTGGATGAATAAGAACACGAGGTGATTGGAAACGCGCCTAACCATTTCTGTTCCCGCCCGGGATTCGAACCCGGAATTCTCGATCATGAGTCGAGAACGACCCCGACTGTACAGCCCGTCCTCATAAACAAAGATACTGTTATTGGACGCCGCTTAACTGACAATGTCTCTTCAACGCAGGCTGACTCCAAGGTGTATTAGCAGGATTACAGGAAGTAGTCAAATGTGGTAAAAATGCTTGCTTCTTTATTGACAGTAGAGAAGCGTTAGAGTCTTTAAATAGCAGACGCCCAGTATATCAGAATATTGTGATAGAGTGTAGAGAGAATGTTAAGAAATTAAAAAAAGCTGGGTATAAAGTAAGATTCATGTAGATCCCTTCACATGTGGGAATACTGTTGAATGAGGTAGTTAATGACATTGAGAAGAGAGCCACTGAAAAAACTCTTGTTGATATTGTATGTCAGTTAACCGTGAAATAAATAAAAACAAGAATCAAGATGATCCAAGAGGGTGAAGAAATGATAAAGAGAATGGCAATGGTGGACAGTAGTAACACACTTAAGAATTATTCAATAATAAATACAAATTCGTCCTTCACTTATGGTAAAGGAAAGTCTACTTGGAAGGATTCAATTTACATGAGATTAAGATTAGGATACAAATATATCTGGCAATAAGGTGTTGATGTCAGTGAAAAAGATAAGGAGTGTAAATTATGTAGTATGCCGCACGCCCACACCTTAGAACATTACAGTTCTCTGTACAGAACTCTCTACAGAACTCTGTACATTGCCTACAGAGTAGGCAAAAAGAATCCATCAGGTCTAAACCAACGGAAAATTCGCCTGAAGCTGTCTTCCCAGTTCACAAAATCCCATCTAGTCCGGACAGCTGCATCCCAACGGAAGGGATTATACATCAACGAGTGCTTGACCAGGAACAGACAGCAAATCCTCTACCGCCTGCGTCAAATCCGTCAACAAAACCCAGATGCGATTCATCAGTGCTTCGTTAGAGATGGTCTGATAAAGGTGAGAAAAACCGCAGAGGGCAAAATGTTTACAATTACTAAAGAAGAAAACCTCAACACTTTCCTCTCCCAATGTGGTTTGTCTCACCTTATCACTCCCAATGAATTAACTTAATTAACCCCCTGTCAACTAGTGGGGCTAGGTATCCTAAGTCTCCTTGGTTCATTTTCTGACTTAATTTTTAACTTACTCTTACCTAGTCATTTACCGAAATTATTTAATTGAGTGTATTAAGTAGTTCTTCAGGTCTTTTTAATTATTCAGTCATTACTGAACTATCTATAGTTATTAATCATTAGCTTAAATTTGCCTATGTTTATTATTCAACTTTTCTTTGATTTCATTTATTACCTAGGTTGCCTAGCCTCGCCATGCTCCCTTACTCCATTGTACCCCTGGCTTTGCCTGCATCTCAAATTGCAAATTGTTACTTACAGTGTACCTGAGAGTACTCGTAAGCAATCTACCTCATTTTTTTTCATTTTTGCTCAATTTGTTTTTTGTATTGCTTAGTCTTGCTCATATTTTTTTGTTTTGTATTTCTATATCTTGTGTTTTGTATAGTCCATGTTTATATGTTTTTTCTTTAATATCATTTATTGCCTAGGTTGCCTAGCCTAGCCATACTCCCTTACTCCATTGTACCCCTGTAAGCCCCTTTTGTGTTTGTTTTGTACAGTATTGTGTATATATTTTTCCCTATTTTATAGCTTATTTCTACTTATTTCTGATTCTGCAATCAGCTTTTTTTATGCAGACAAGTATAGACCCAGAACTTAACCTCTTATCCACTATCTATGACAATAATCACTTTAATGATCTAAATTGCAGATATTTTGCAGCACATGATGTAAACAATGTATTAACTCATAATCACAATATCTCTGTAATCAATTTGAACGTTAGATCCCTAGGTAAACACTTCGATGATGTTAGTGCCTTGATTGAAACTATTGGCAACAAATTCTCTTTTATTATACTTACTGAAACATGGTTGAAAGAGGATACTACTCAACTCTTTAACATGCCTAACTACTCAGCAATTCACAACTGTCGTCAACTTCAGAGAGGTGGTGGCACTGCTCTTTACTACCACCAAGAACTAACATGCTTAAAAGAAATTAGAACTAGAGACTGCTATGGGGAGTATATCTTCGCCAGGTTCAGAGTCAAGGGTGCCGAGTCTGTCCTGTCTGTGGGTGCAGTCTATAGAATTCCCAACACTGATGTGTCTGAATTCAACTCAAACCTTAGAAATCTAATACTTGATAACAGACTGAACAAAAACCACCTAATTATCGCAGGGGACTTTAATATTGACCTCTGCGAGCCAGAACACCCTACTGCTGTTAGCTTCCTCAACTGTATGAATTCCTGCTTCCTCATACCCTTAATCACTAGACCTACTAGAATCACTGATAGCACTGCCACGACTCTAGATCACATCTGGACCAACATAACCTCTCCACTTACTTCAGGTATAATCACCGATAGCACTACAGACCATTACCCCACATTTCTCTTAACTAACATTAGCAAACCACCTCTAGAAACAAGGGAGTTAAGCTTTAGGCTGCACAATGAAACTGCTATAAACAATTTTATAACTGCTGCTGATAATGTCAACTGGGAGTCCGAGTTAGGTAACATAGGGGACATCAACCTAGCAGTGCAATCTTTTCTACAACAACTCTTAGCGTTTATAACACCCACTGTCCTAGGCTTACAAAACAAGTCACAAGCAAAAGGCTTAACAATCCTTGGCTTACAAAGGGAATACTGAAATCCATTAACAAAAAACACGACCTTGAGAAGAAGTATAGGTTAGGAATTGTCTCCAAAGAATTCTCAAAGAATTACTCATTATTGCTATCTAAGATAATTAGACGAGCCAAAACTAAATACTACGAAGATAAATTTACCCAAATAAAGAGCAACATTAAACAAACTTGGAGCACAATTTCACAAATATTGGGATCAAAGAAATCTTTAAATAACAAACCGACTCTCTTGTCTAATAACGATGGTCAGCTTTCAGCCTCTGATTCTGCTATTGAGTTCAATAGGTTC